TTCAGGATTCGTTGAGGAATTGAGTTCCTTTAAATATGCTTATTTGAAGGGTTTTCTTTCTTTGCCTTCCTGTGAATTCCATCACACAACTACTAGGTGGTCTTGCGGTATAGACAGGTTAGGGAAAAATGGTATAATGGTTGTGAAGCATGGGGCATAGACAGAGGAAGCCCCTACCAACTACCATGATCAGGGAATCATGAGCTCTCAGTAAATGCCCATGTAGGAAGGCTCTTTGACACTACCATTTTATGAGGCAGCCAGAGCACTGAGTGAGCATTTCAACGGAATTCCCGACCTTAAAACTGCAGTCAGCCAGCAGATGGTGCAAAAGAGGCACCATGCAAATATTCCACCTCGAATGTAAAAGAACGGTGGAGTGTCTCTCAGCAGTTCTGCTGCATAGAATTTCTGGAATACACTGTTGGAAAGGCTCCCCAAACCTCAAATAGCTGAAACTGCTAGTTTTCCAAATGTATGATGTGTAGCCCCACATTTTGAAAAATCCTAAAGTGAAAGCCCTCTTGTTTTCCTTGCCTCCAGTTAACAGAGCACTCCAGCGAAATGAAGTTGCACTTCATGCACTTCGCTGGGTAATGAATGAAGAATTCACACAACCACATTTTTTGCAAGGCAGCTAGTTGGTCTTGTGTCAGCTCTACCCACAATTGCCTTTTCTGCCAGCAGGAGAAAGGTTTGTCTGTTCAGAGGTTTACCACTATGTCAGCAGCTTGCAAACTGAATTCGCTGCATGTTTGCTGCCCTTGGCATTTCCAGTTTAATAGGTACCAGACATCAAGGCTGGGAAGATCTCTCTGTCTGTGGCATTAAAGGCCCTCTGCTAAACGGGGAGACAATGCTAGCCCAGCACGTACAGACCACCAGTGGCTTCACACCCTGTGCAAGCTTCATGTGTTCCCTGCGGCCCATTGACGCTACGCAGAAGGGCTGAATGCCACAAGCCAGAACTTGGGAACACTGCGCACACAGTATGGATGCAGAGAGCCCCAGCGCCAGTCCCAGCTGCTGTGGCGGATGGCACCAGTACCAGTGGGGTGATGGATCCTCTCTGGAGAAAGCCAGAGCTTTTAAGGAAGCTGTCCACTGTGCTGAACCGAGGTTCAAAACCATGAAAAGCTCCTTGGAAGTTCAGGCTGGAACCTGGAATGGATGTCCAGCCCCACTGATGCTGCAACCACCAGCAACTCCACTGAAAAAGGACCTTATGTGCAGCAATTATTATTAATAATAATATTGATAATTAAACAACAACAACAACTTCATTTCTACACCGATTTCATTTCTCTGGGTAGTTTACAACAGCACAGGCCATATGCGAGTGAAAAGTTTCTCTTGTGCTAGATTGGGTTGGGTGATTTCCGGGGGCTCAAAGACCAGTTCCCACCTGGAACCCACTCAGGGCCACTCCCCCCACCCATGGTTGCCACGGGCCTCTCCAACAAGACGCATGAGGACTGAGTGCTTTGTTTTAATGCAAAACCATGCTTTGGGCTGCATACGGGAGCATGATTTTGCTTTAAAAAGGGGTGCGCACAGCCCATGCTTCAGAGCAACCGTGCCAGGCCCTTGCTGCCAACGCTGCCATGGGGCTGAGGAGGCCACATACACCCCCGGGGCATACGCAGCTTACGTACTGTGCCAGATATCCACACCATCCCCAGGAATTGCACTCACCCCTTGATGCCAAATGTTAAAATCCTTTGTGAAGCAGCTCCAGGCACCAAAATGATGACAGGTGGGCTACTACACATCAACTCCTGGGTGGCTCAAAGCCATCTTTGAATGGCTGTTTCTGGAAGACTCCACATTATACAGACCGACTCTCTGCAAGGAGCAGATGGAAGCTAGCGCTGGCCTCCAGCTTTTATAAGCCAGATCCTCAAGGGCTTCTCCCCTCTTTCCAAATGTCAGATGTGGGAAAGGGGAAGCTCACAGCTGTTCAGCAGAGAAAAGCCATGCCAAAACCATCTCCAGCAGGCTCTGCCTTCTCCTACCGCTTACCTCTTTTTTGCCTGGCATTTGGGCTGATGTTCCGACCCTGGTTGCTCGACATCTCCAGGCCTGAGAGTTCAGATTTGTTTTCACACAAACTCACTGATTTTCTGCTGTACCTTTAGACACAAAACATCACAACAGTTATTTTGCAGCCACTGAAGTCGTATGGATGGCGTGGACTGGCATACACAGGAAGGGCTTCCTCAGTTCGTGATTGTCATGTCACCCACGGAAAAACATTCCTGTATGAACGAACTATAAAAATGTACCACAGGAGATAAAAGAGAAGTGTTGCACATATAGTAAGTTGGCTCAAATGTTACCAACTGTACAAGGAACAGAAACTCAGGCTGGAAGTCCAGCTGCTACCGTCTCGCGCAGCATTCATCTGCCATTACCCCCTCACTCTTACCAACCAAGAAGTTCTCAAGATGGATAGGGTCATCTCCTTTGCTACAGGAGAAACTGGATAAGTCACATCGATTCTGTGAACTCGTGGGCCAGCTGAGGGAGGGATTAGTGCTAGTACAAGTATGCATTAATAAGAGGACGCACATAAGCGAGTGTGTTGATCCACATCCAGGTAACTAATCCAGTTAATTAGCGTGAATTAGCACTTTGCCCTGCACTGCTGCCACTTGGCAGCCACGCTGGTGCGGGGACAGCCGTCCTAAAGCCCGAGCGGTCACTAGGCCACTCGGCCCCAGCAGCAAGCAGTTCTGCAGTGGATGTGGCACCCTAGCCTTGTCGCATGCTCTGGGTTCAGTCAACACGTCAAGTCCAGAGGCGGCCGACAGACCCTACAGGAAGGAACGGCTTTGCAGGGTGACTTATGCACCCAGCTCCTGGGTTCCTAAGCATCCCCCCACCCAGGAAGCGCACCTGGGTTTTGGCAACATGGTAAGAAACAGAGGCTTATAAAGTCAAAGGTTATATCGAACCCCGGCCACCTAAGAGAACCTGAAACACTTTGCAGTCATAGATGCTGGAATATAAGGAGGGCCCTGGGAGTCATTCAGACGGACCCAAAACCAGTACAATTGATCCTTAAGCATCCACACTCCTCTCCTGCAGTGACCAGATTTTCCTTCCTCCCCGCCCCAAAGTCCCACCTTTTCAAATAACAACCAAGGGGTTCTGCAGGAAGAGCACACACGGCCTGGCCACGTATCAGGATCAAAGAGGGTGTTCTGTAGTCGGTCATTCCAGCAATCAGCCAAGGAGCTGTTAGGCGGCTTTGGGCCCCAGCTGCCTATAAAATAACTGCAGCTCATGCATGAGCAATGCTGGAGGGGGCAATCTGGTGGAGGCAATGCTGCCTGATTAATTAAGCTAGCCACCCAAATTGGGTGGGGTGCCTTTGATGCAAGTCTCCCTGTTGCTGACTGCTGTGCCTCAGAATGAACCCTCTCCTCTTTCCAAGTTTCAGGGACAGCTAAAGACAGAGAAGTCGCCTGTGAAGTTCTTTGGTTCAGCACATATCTTTGGTTTCTGTCTTGCAGGCAGATATCAAGTGAGGGGGAGAGAATGGTAAACACAGATAGAAACAGGAATAACTTCCATGCCTTGGAGCAGAGACAAGCCAGCATTTGCAATTCTTTCTTCTTAGTCAGCAGGTCTTGAAGGCTCTTTGTACACCTGGTACACTCTGCCACAATTACATAATACACTCAGGGGCACATAAACCATTTCTTTAGCCAGGTGGGCCATTGAAACTGAGTCCAGGTAGGTAACTCTACTGCTTTCTTTTCTTTCTGCAACTATTGAGCTGCAAGCCAAGGTTCACTCCTTCATGAAAAAGTTCGAGTTCAAGGACTGGTCTTACTTGCTTCTCTGGGTACCTTCACACGAGGCTTGCATTTTGTCCTTTCTCATTCACAGAGTTTTACCAGCATGTGCTCCCATATAGATGATGACATTTTCCATTTCAGCCCTCATTGTCCTTTTTGCTACCGTAAAAAATCCCACAAATAGGAGAGCTGCAAAGTGCCTTTGGACTCTTGAGCTAGGAGAGAATAGAAAATGCAGCATGCCGTGTTCCCAAATGTGGACAATGCAGAAGAAAAACCCCGTTATTTCTCTTTAAAATGAGGCACACAGGAAGGGGATGCCTTATTTTAAATAAAAATATACCACTAGGATTCTTCTGGGGCCGCAATTTTCCCAAAGATTACCCAGCCCTGTCTGAGAGGACCTTCAAGCACCTTGAGTGGTGCTCATTTCCTGAAATTCCTGTGCTGAATTTTGGTAGTAAGTCTAACAGCATGTGGCCTGTGGGCCTCAGGTTGTCCACCCCTGACTTAGGCAGAAGTCCTCTAGTGACAATATTTAAGAAAACAGGGAGCTGAGGAAAAGAGAGGCAATACAGTAAGAGAAGAAAGGGAAAAGCTGAAATAGGACTAAGACATGAGGGATGAAGCAGCCAAGGATTGGGCCAGAGAGAGCAAATGGAGGCTGAATATCATCATCATCATCATCATCATCATCATCATCATCATCATCATCATCTTATTACTATACCACCCCACAGCTGAAGCTCTCTGGACAGCATAGGAGGATGTTGGAGTGCCCAAGCACATAGATGAGCAACCAGAACTGATCCACAAGCAAAGATCACCTGTGAGAAGCAGCCCAACAAAGGTGTCTTACACACTATTAGTACAGCTTAGTAACAAATATAGTACAGCTTAGTAACACAGCATGAGCAGATGGATTTGCTTTTGTTGCACACATCTCTCTGAGAGCTTGAGCTACCAGATGACTGATAAATTTGAATTAATAATAGCAATAACGGTTGGCAAGGCCATCGGTTCCTGTCTGACACTAAAGTCACAAACCAACATCATCCAAAGAGAAATACATTCCTGCCTTCCACAGCATCAGTCAGAAGCAAAATCAGATGCAAAGCAGCGCCACATTGCATTCCATTTCCTCTCCAGCATGTCTTACCGCGCACGGGTGTCATGCAATCTTTCAAACTGCAAGATCGCACCACAGTTATTGGCGTAATCTTTACCTGGAGGTGTTGGATGAATTCATGGGCGCGTGATACACACTCTCGGTGATTCTTTGGTGCAGTTGACTGGCTTCTGTTAAAGAGAACAAGAAAGGGTGGTATTTCTGAATGTTTCGTTGCATTTGTAAGTGCATGTAAAAGGACAATAGTAAACACTTATGCCCAGGTGCTGGGAACTAATAAGGTCCATTCTTCACTCCATGCAGATGTTTTCACGTGGTGAGAGAAGCCACCAATGGGAGAAGGTGATTTGCTGCAGTTTCTCAGCCTTCCCCTGACATGGCCCTCCAGATGTGGCAGGCAGAGAATGCAGTGATGGAGAAATCATCATGATAAATCCCTGGAGACAAGATTGGTTGACTTGATTCTCTGCTCAAATTGAGTGCTTCGCGCATACCAGGGTGGGGGGAAGAATTGCTTGAATCCAACCTAGCTGTGCCTCTGCAGATGGATCAGGGAATCTCAGATCTCCCCAGCAGTTCCCTTGAAAATTACTGGGGGTTGCAGCAAACCCCTTCACAGTAACAAACCAAAGCACTTAGATAATCCACATTTTAAATGCCAACACAGTCAAAACTGGGCCCCAGATCAGCAGTACATTTACCACTGCTGCATTTTCACTGGGTACATTTTCAGGAAAAGCCAGTCTGCACCAGTACCCTATTATGAAAAGCATGGGGGGGGGGGCGGGGAAGGCAGCGGCACCTGATGAAGTTCTACCTCTTAAGTTCTTACTCTTTGGGAAAAATATAGGAACCTAAAAGGAACAAGTAATCCTTTGCCTCCAGGTCCTGCACACACACACCACTCTTGAAAAAAAGGTTTCCCTTCAGCAACCTTGATCTGACCACTACTCAATTCTACCAGAGCCCTCCCTGCCCCTGCTCCATTGCTGTATCACCACCATCTGACCCTCCAGTTGCTGTGAGTCTCCAACTAGCCCCATGAAAGCTCATTGTCCTTCGGCCGTGGTCTCAAGCAGCTATTCCGGCAGACAATATCGTGGAAGAGGAAGAGGGGGAACCAGAGCCATTTCCCCGGTCCTGAGGAAAGAATTAACCCTTCCTCCCCTCCCCTTTTCTTCCTCCCATCTTGTTGTTCTTAGATGTTAACCAAGCAGGCACGGACTCTCTCGCTTTTATGAACTGACTATATGCAAACTACTTCTGAAGCCTTTCTTGGCCAAGAAGGAGTAAAATGCTGGATATAAACAAATCAGCCACAGCTAGCATAGCCAGAGGTCAGGGATGATGGGAGTTCCAATAACCAGAGGGCCATCAGTTCCCCACCCTTGACCTATACCTGCTCCCCCCCCCCACCACACACACTTGGTGCTTCCAAATGTGCTGCTCTGTAAATCCCATGATGCCCAGCCCAGTGCCCAAGAGCACCAGAGTGGTGAGGAATGGGCTACACACAAGGCGGGAGGGAGGGTTGTCTGAATCTGGGTACTCACGTGTGGCCCTAATAGAGCCACAGAGCCTTTGCAGTCCCTTTGAGAAAGAATTGTGGCACTAATAGAGATGCCTTTCCCGGCAGGGCACAAGGGAAAGAGAAGGAACATGCACCTTCCCACCCCGTCTGCGCACTGCTGCTGCTCCCTTGCATCATATAAGAATCCAAATTCTCTCGTTTCTTTCTACCTGCAAGGCCTGCTCTCACATCTGTTTGCGCTCTCGGCTGTTTCCCCACTGTTCCCCACTGAGGATGTCGTTCCAGCCAGCGCTGCAGCTGGACCACGTGCGCTTCTATCCAGGGTGACGTGGAGAAGCTGGTGAGGAAGGCGCTGCGGCCTCTTTCCTTGTGGGAACAGAAAGGAAGGGGCGGTACGGCCTGCTGCCTGGTATTAAGGACAACAGGGGTAGCAGAGCCCTCTCAGAAAGCCACGCTCGGTAGAGAGTCATTTCTCTTCCTTGGCTCAGAGCAGACCCCTCTCTAGTTCTGCTCGGTGACACACTTGGAAAGGAAAGTGAGCACCCTCGCCTTGCCTCCAGCTTCTCCGGATGTCCACATGTAGGTCTCACGTTCAAATACGGCCTTGGCACGTTGAATAAAATATGCTGCAGATCAAAGTATTTGTCCAGTTTCCTCCCCTCCCCCCAAAAAAACGAGCTTTTCCTAAATGACCAGTCATAGTTTTATTGATATAACTTTTAAAAAATATTTTATTTTTTTTCTTTCTTTCCTGTTTGCTACTCAGGAAACTTCTCTGGTCATTGAGCAATTTAGAAATGTTGCAAGTAAATAAATAAATATTCATTCGAACTGGCAATGTCTCTCCATCTGGGGTTGGAGCTGAGAACTCTTTCACCTGCTTCCATGATTCCAGTTGACGATGCTGGCAAAGATGGTATTTGGGCCTTTCTACATGGAAACTATGAGTCAGTTGCCACTTCTATGCTCTAAATGTGCATTTTTAGGGGAGGGAGGATGATGATGATGGTGGGCATGTCATGAGCAGAGCCAGCTGGTGCCAGAGGTCAGACTAGATGGCCCAAGAGACCCCTTCTGACTTGCTCTGTTTCTATGTTTCTATGTATAGCCTGTCTATTCCAGTGTCCAGACTCAAGTCAGCTCACAACATTAAAAGCTCATACAGGTACAACATTACAGAAATATTGAAAAGTTAACAATATCATTAAATCAGGAAAGCCTTCAAATCATAAAAAGAGCCAAATTAAGAACACGAAAAACTATGTAAAAGAACAGAGCTCGTCCAACACAACCTCACAGGCCAGGCCAGGCCAGACCAGGCCAGGCCAGGCCAGGCCAGGCCAGGCCATTCCCAAACGCCAGCTGGAACAAAAATGGGGTTGCCTGCCTTTGGAAACACAACAGGCCTTGGGGCAGCCACTGAGAAGACCACGTTCCCGCCACCACACATGCCTGTGTGTGCGTGTGGGTCCCCGAGAACCCAGGAGCACAGGCAGGCTGATAAGGGCGAATGCAGCTTTTCAGGTAGCCCGATCCCAAGCTATACAGGTTTTATGGGGGATTGCCAGGGTTTGACTCGTACCCAGAAAGAGATTGGGGGCAGAGAAGCTGGGAGCTTGGGAGCTGTGTCTCCTGTAAGCCCAGCCCTGGTCAGCAGTCCAGCAGCAGCCCTCTGGTTTCCAAACACTCTTCCAAGGCAAATTTGCCAGGAAGCATGTGTAGGACAGTAACCATTCATTTCCACTGAGCTCAGGTCATATTCCCACTGCCTTGGGAAGGAATGACTGGCCCAGTCAAAGCAGAGCAGCAGCAAAATTCCCCAGGGAATTTTAAGGAGGGAGCAAGACTGCAGGGTCGATGCATGCAGAGAATCAGCAGGCCAAGCCGCTGTGGTGGGTTCTTGGGACTCTTGGCAGCCCCGTCATGTCTGGATTTTTCACAGCATGGCAGCAGTTGCTTGTGGATTTGGGCACCCCAATATGCAGCTTGAGGGGTGTGCCTGGCTATTAGAGCAGAACAAGCCCATCTTGTGGTGTCTTACCTCTGCAAGCCTCCAGCTGTCCAGTCAGGACTTTCCTAATCTCGGAAACCCACGTATTCTTCAGTTCCACAGAAGCAGCCTGCAAAATATGGGGTAGACAGAAATGGGAAGAGATTTATTTATCTATCGCATTTGCATGCTGCCCCATGGCCAAAAAGATCCAAGCAGGTGCCTTAAATTTCCTAGGATGGTTCCCTCCAGGCGTGAGCTCATGACCTTAGATATACGTACCAGTCCTTCCCTTCCTTTTTCACTGAAGCCGATTCTCAAAATATATTTTCCAGGGTAAAGGTCTAAGGGGTCAGGACAGGGCAGAAAATGAGGATTGACTTTCAATCCTAACCTTGGAAGTGAATTGGGTTCACATGAAAGTAATTTTCCATTTAGAAACTGGGGAGGCAAAGGAGGAGGAAATTCTGCCAATTATCTCCCCTTTTCACCATCACGATCAACTTCAATTACATTTCTATACCCCCAGTAGCCAAAGCTGGTTTAAAGCAGCAGATAAAGTACAGTGAAAAATGCAATATAAAATAAAAAGGGCAATAAAATCATAAAAAATCCAGTACAAAATTGAAAAGCCAAATTTAAACCCCAATTTAAAAAGCTACAATAGCTTACCTAAATTAAGACATGTTAAGCAGTTAACCTAATGCCACAATATATTATAAAACTAATTAAATGCCCTGTCATAGAGGACAGTCTTAACCTGGTGCTAAAAAGAATTAAACACAGCACAGAATTAACTAGGAATTCGATAGCAGAAGATGTACTTATGGCCACGTTTTATTAAATGCCCTTCCTCAAACACAGGATCAGAATAACAGCCGTTTTGTCTGATAATGAATTTGTCAGGTATTTTCATGAGCTAGTGGGCATTTTATTCCAGAGGCTTTATTTACTGAGACAAGCAGGGTTTATTGCTCCCGTGGTGAAACCACTGCAGCTTCTCGCTCAGCCTTTTTGGTCAAAAATAAAGCCTTCATCGGAAAGTAACAGTATTTCCTGTTTTTGGCAGAAATTTGCTGTGCAGCACTGGCTGTGAGCAGTCAGAAAGACACCCCTTGCTCCTGATGCAGAGAATGATAAATGGCTGGCACTTACAACCACTCCCACGGACCTCTCTGACCCAATTTGAGAAAAAAAATCCTTTTTTTTTTAAAGTTGCCAATAAATGTTAAACCAGATGACTATCAGGTATCTGTAAAACAATATTTTAAAAATGAGAGTGGAGTGCACGATGCATTAGAGAGCAAAAGCAGAGAGAAACCGGAGGCCATAAAAATTGCGCATCTCTTCTTGAAGGAGATACGCCTAGGCACAATCACAATCTATAGGAGGACGTTCCACAGGGGACAAGATCTAGCTAGGGGCAAGACGACTGAGAGAGGGAGAACGGTTGTGAGTAGGACTGGTGGCAGGGCAGGCTAAGCCCCCCCCCCCCTTCCACCTGTCTTGTCTCTTCTCTAGACAGGGGAGGCAGACTGTGCTTTTGCAGGATGGATCTGGCACCTCCATTTCACCTGAGGAGGTACCATTGCACCTTAAGAGAACAGTGCCCTGCTTGAGCCCGACTAGCGATACCGCAGAAGAAGGAAAAAGTTAACGGGAAAAATATGGCTTACAATACCTGAATAATGTACACTTCTTCTCTGCCATTGTACCAGATCTCAAATTTCTTGTTATCCCCTTTGACGTTTTCAGTAATGCCGACAGTGCTCATCTGTTTAAAAGAGAATCCTAACTGCAGAACATGATTTATTACCTTCACAATATATTCCCCTCCTTTTACTTGCCACAGCTGAGCACATGAAAACACAACAACGTAAGAGTGGAGTTTCTTAATAGGGAAATGACAGGCATTTCAGCTCCATGATACCCAAGCCCACTCCCTACATACATGCAACCTTATCTCATAAATTGGCTGTTGTCTCAGTGCGAACACCCCACACCTCATCGCCGCTGTGGTGTCACAAAATGTTCACAAGCGGTATAGTTTCTGTGAGCTGCACCTCAATTTAGGTTTTCTAAGGAAGGGTCGTAGGCTCTAGGGAAAGATGCCCAGGCTGATGGCAGAGATTCACAATAGAAGGGAAGGGAAGGGAAGGGAAGGGAAGGGAAGGGAAGGGAAGGGAAGGGACGACTCTCTGGATGTCTGTGTTCATCCATATATTGGACTTGGGTGCACTGCACACAGACTACAATCTATAGTTACCAGATTCATTTGTTTGTTGGTTATATTTCTACCCTGTTTTCCCTCCAAGGTGGCTTGCTTGCTTCTCCTATTCCTATTGCTCATCTCCATCATCCTCAGGATTTCATGGACTCCATGGCAACCATGACAAACATGCCCCAACGTGGCATGAGCCCAATGCATGCAGCAAGGCACATTCTGGGCATGGGGATAATGACCCGAAGGTGTGGGATCAGTCCCTTTGCCAGAGTCAGACCACTGCCAGTTGAACTTTAGACTAAAGGTGACTTTCCCACCTGCAGGGTGGGGGACCTATTAAGATGTTCTGCCCCCAGAGGGCAGAGACATTAATGCTGCTTCCTCTCCAGTGATACTTTTGGAGACTGCTGTGTTGCTGCTGCAGAGGTAAATATGGAGGATGCAAAATTGATCTAGATGCCTGAGTGGGGGAAGTTACTTCCCCCCACAAGTTATCTCCAACAAGAGTGCTGTTTCCTTGTGGCTCACAGAAAAGGGAAGGAGTGGATTTGATGAGGTTTACTGGATGGGGTGCAGACAGCATGTGTGTGTGAGAGGATGTATGCGTATGTGTCCACGTGGGAGTGTTTGCACAACAGAATGAAAGAAAGATCATGTATGTGCATGAGTGTATTTGTGTATTGCACACAGGGGTGCAGTCTGAGTCACCGCAAAGGCCATGCGTGCTTCTGCTAAGTGTTCCTCAGGCAGAGGTGTCTTAGCCTTGCATTGTGAAAACTTGGCCAAGATGTTAATCAATGATGAGCAAAAAATACACTTCGCTGCTCAGCTGTGGGGACCTCCTGCTTATCAGGTAAATGTGCCCCAGGATTAAACCAGGAAGGTTTTTGCCAGAAAAGATCCACGGAGCTGCAGTACGACACACACTATTAAAGTAAAATAGTTCTAAAATGGGCATGCCTGCTCAAGATTCCTCCTGGGAAAGAACTGCATCACAGTAGGGTGGCTTGATTTAGCTCCAGGCTCATCGATAGATCACATCTTGGGGCTTAGCTCAGCCAGTCAGACTGCTTACAGATTTGGGAATCTCCCCGCTGTGGCAAAGAGGTGGTTTAAGTAGCACAAGAGTTGCACAAGGCAGGCTATCCAAGGGCTGGAAATTTTTTATTTATTTTCGATTTATATCCTGCCTTTTTCCTAAAGGGCTCAAGGCAGCTTACATCTCCTCCTCCATCTTATCCCCACAACAACAACCCTGTGAGGTAGGTTGGGCTGGGAGTCTGTGACTGGCCCAAAGTCACCCAGTTGGCTCCATGGCTGAGCCGGGACTAGAACCCAGATTGTCTGAGTCCCGGTCCCATGCTCTTAACCACGACACCACACTGGCTCTCTATCAATGTGAAGGACTCCAAGGACCAAGGTGCAGCCTGCTGTCCCTCAGCCCTGGAAGTCCAGCAGCCACGTGGGAAGTGTCATGACTCAGAAATCACATGGCAGCTTATCTAGCCAAATCGAGAACAGCTGCACCCACACAGAAGCCCCCATAAGAACAGTTTTGCTTACTGGGACCAAGGATTCTTCTCACCAAGCATCTGGTTTCCCACACTGGCCAACCACATGCTTCTGGAAAAGTCTTAGAACAGCCGCAGACCTCCTCCACCATTTGCATGCTTCTCCAGAAATGGGTATTGAAAGCCACACAGGCCCTAAGCTTGGAAGATCTGTTTACTTGCCATGGCTCATAGCCACAGACGGATTTGGCCTCTTTGTGTTTAGTTAATCCCATGCGTGGTTCATCAGGAAGAGCAACCCTATGCCCCAGGCGGGTGCGGTCCTTCCAGACACCACAAGAAGCTCTTCTCCAGTGGCCTGGGCAGCAGGCTCCAGCAAAGGTTGTAGGGGAAGGGGAGGAGGAACCATGGGAGGGAAGGAAGAGGGTGTAAATTCACTGGCTTCACTGGCCTCTCCTCTCCTTCCAGTCCCTGCTTCTAGGAAGCTGAGAGAGTTCAGCAGGTTCAGAAGCCCATCTCTCAACGGGAGGCAAATTTAACTTGGTATAATATCTTCAGTTAGATCGATGGATTAAAGAGTGGTTGAAGAAAAATGCTAAATATAGAGAAGATACTAAGTCTGAAGTTATGATTGTACAGAAAGATAGTATGTGGCTGAGAGGAAGGACAAGTAAAATTTATAACATGTTTAGTAGAAGGGGAGGACCAAAATGACCCTCTTAAAGAATCCTGAGAAATAGACTGGGAAATAGAGCCGTCCCAAGGCTATGTTGCAAGGCGATGACATATAAAACCCTTTAATAAATAAATAAATAAATAAATAATAAATTTAAGAAGAAATATTAGTAATGGAGGAACATGTGGGATAGGAGAATTTTAAAATGTATGCTGTTAAGAATTAAAGAAAATGTTTACAAATTAGTTTGGAAATGGTACTTAACTCCAGTTAAATTGAATTACAGGAATAATAAATATTCCAATGTATGTTGGAGATGTAACATGGAGGTGGATACATATTTCCATATGTGGTGGGACTGTAAATATATAAATAAGTTTGGGAATTGGTTTTCGAAGAAATTAGTAAAATATTGAATCTAAATAATGAAATAGACCCTGGATAGTATTGATGTCACTATTTAGAGAGCAAGTGGGAAAAATATTAAAGAACTGATGACAGATTTAGTAACAGCAGTAAGATTAATAATAGCAAGGAAACAGAAAGCAAAAGGTGACAATCAAATACATTATTGGTATAAAGAAGTCTGGAATATAGCTATTAATGATCACTTAACTTGAGATATTAAGTTGAAAAAAGTCTCGATAAGTTAAAAAATGAAGATATTTGGAGACTGTTTATTGAATATGTTTTAATAAAGAGAAAGGGATGCGAACCATCACAAGAGTCACTGCAGTTCTGGAAAGGGAGTGCGAGTGAAGCAATACACGATTCTATCTATCTATCTATCTATCTATCTATCTATCTATCTATCTATAACATTTACACCGAGTAACATGTGTCTGTTGGTCCTGGTGGAAGGTAGCACTGTTACTAAGAGTTTGGGGGCAGTAAATAAATAAACAAATTGAGGAGGAGGAGGAGGAGGAGGAGGACACGGCAGCTGTGGCAGCAGCAGCCACCACCCCTACCCATCTTGCAAATTAAGCACAAATGGAGGTCAGAGAGGCTAATCCACCCAGTCATCCATTCAAGTGCAGACTGCAGGCAAGAAATTAGAGGAAGACTAAGACTTGAAGGGCAGCACTTGAAGGAACTAGAAAAGAGCGTGTTTAAGCCTTTTTCAGGGGAGACCAACGCCATGATCATCCACAGTCATACTGAATGGGTGTGGAAGCTGGACAGTGAAGAAAGTGGACAGGAAGAAAATTGCTGCGTTCAAACCAAGGTGGTGGAGGAGTTTTGTGAATATCCCAGAATGACAGAAAGGTGAACAAGTGGGCCTTCAGTCAAATCAAGCCAGAACTTGTCTTGGAAGCAAAACTGACAAAGCTGAGCTGCGTTTCGTCTTTCAGCATTGTTCGAAAACTCAACTGCACCTCTGATGCGAGGTTATGCTCTGTTCTTGTGTAGAAACTGAATTCAACAGCAGGTTTTACTTCTGGACTCATTCCCATAAACACACACAGACAGGGAAGCATATTTGAATCCATCCCTGTCATTCCTCCGCAGAACTGATTGGAAAAGCATGTATTTGTAACCTGAGCTGTGTTTCTGAGTGAGCATTCCTGAAATTCTATGTTAAGTGGAAGAACCACAGAGTTTTTCCTCCCTGGAGATGGGAGAATAAGGCTAGTTCTTAACCTGCTGCTTGATTCAACTGTCAAGGAAAGTATATTTTTGTACTTTTACAGCTTCTAAGGAGACATTAAAATACACAGCCAAGTTGTTCAAGGCAGATTACCAAAGCATAAGAAGCTGGATCTCAGTTTTGCTAGATTATTGCTGAATGGACTTATCACTTAGAAAGTTTTGCCCAGTCAGACTATTGTATAATCCCAAACCTAAAAACGGAATGCCAATGCTCCTAAAATGGTCTGGACCAGGGATGAGGGATCATTCCCATCCTGAGGACCACGGTCACCAGTGACACCTGTTGGGGCGGCATGCCAAGAGTGGGCATGACCACCACGGCCAGCCCCCACTCCCAAGCATCCACGTGGCCACCCTAGTCACACAACTGCCCCCTACTGCAACTCTCTGCTGAGTGGAACTGCCACGCCAGGATACCTGAAGCACCTTGAAGTGCAGCCCCTCCGTGAGCGGGCTTCATCCTGCCTTCACCCTTCCTGATGAGAACAGCAAGGGCTGAGGGAAGCCTTGGCGGATTCTGCATCAAGACATGCCCAGTGCCTCGAAGCAGGAGCACTCCAGGGTGCAGGCAAAAAATGGGGACCTCAGGAATGAGGAGGAGCCTCAGACAGAACTTGGACAGTATAAATAACCCACAGGTTGAAGTTCCCCATTCCTAATCTAGACAAACTTCTCTCCAACCTTCAGAACGTGGCAAAATCAGCCAGTAGAAGAGGCAGAAAAATCATTTGTTGCCAGTTCAACTGGAGAGTTTGAAGGAGGCGAAGAGCTGTGAGTTTAGTCGGACTAGAAGTGGCTTGGGAGATTCCAGGCAGTTGCACCAGGAATTGGGAGGTGGGATCTCCAGTTCTGTGACTGAAGCCTGTTTCAATTATTCTCCATTTGTTGATAGAACCAAGGCATCACAAGTTGCAGATGACCCCTCATCCTTTGGAGAAGGTCTTTCCATCTGCAACTCTGCAGGAAGCAGTAGCGGTGAGGTCATGTTTGCAGAGATACTGTTTCTCCATCAGGTTTAAATGAATGGGGGGCCACAGATGCCCACCTCTATTCCATTCTGCCATAAGATACCACTTACCTTTAAAGAATTTTTAAAGCTGTAGGATGGAGACTTCTCATGGCCATCTGTATTTTCTTCTCGCTTCTTGCAAAACAGTAGGATCTTTGCATATAGGAAGAGATGCCTCTGCATCGGCTTGAACCGAGCCAAATCTTTCACTTTGTTGTGGCCTTTCTTGTGATCGGTCCAAACATTGAAGGAGCCCTGAAGTAGCAGCTTGCCAAGCTCATGAACATCTCCCTAGAGAAAGGGGCAACAAAGGTATGAAGTATGGTTCTAGCTCTCCTTGTCCCAGTTTTACTTTAGCTTCATCCCATTCTTCAATCATTTCCACACAAGAAATATTCAGTTTCTGGAAGGACAGGCACATTAACTGGTTGCAGCAGAAACGGCAATAAATTTTGCAGCACCTTAAGTCCCAGAAAATGCATCTCAGCATCAGTGCCATTCCTTGGCAGAAAGCTGAGGCATACGTCAAATAAATAAACAAACTCTGGAGGGCTTTATCCCATATTTATCTTAGGTTAAGGCATTTTGGAGGACATCCATTTATAGGATCACCATACGTTGGAGATCAAACTGGTCAGTCCTAGAGGAGATCAACCCTGGCTGCTCTTTAGAAGGCCAGATACTGAAGATGAAACTCAAATACTTTGGCCACCTAATGAGAAGGAAGGACTCCCTGGAGAAGAGTCTAATGCTGGGAACAATAGATGGCAAAAGAAGAAGGGGGCGGCAGAGGTTGAGGTGGCTGGATGGAGTCACTGAGGCAGTTGGTGTGAGCTTAGGTGGACTCCGGGAGATGGTGGAGGACAGGAAGGCCTGGAGGAACGTTGTCCATGGGGTCGTGATGGGTCGGACACGACTTCGCGACTAACAACAACAAATATGTTGGAGACAAACTGACAGCACACGACCATGACTATAACAATGACAACAAACGTAATTAAATTGGCTATAGTCCAAGAAAACTTATGCAGCAATGCATTTGTCTCTAAGATGCCCAAAGACACTTTATTGGTTAAATTCAGACCCTTTGTGCCTAGAAGTTCTTAAGTCCACATCTAACTATCTTTAGATAGTCACCAATCACTTTGTTAGTGACCGTGTCCTGTTATTGTCCACATTAAGCTGATATAAGACTCAGTTGTAATCAAAGTGCAGGAGATACTTGCATTACCTACAAACATAGAATTTCTACTTCATAACTTAGATTCCTATTGAATTCAAGTTAGTCTTCTACTACGAATAGGGATTAAAAGGCCAGAGGGAAATAACATTTTAATATGGATGGCCTGCTGTCCAATGAGATAAAACATTTATATGACCTTACACCCCTTGAGATCTTCGGGTGAGGCCTTGCTCTGAGAACCCTCCCTGAAGGAGGTAAAAATGACATGTACTCAGAGTAGGGCCTTCTCTGTGGTGGCGCCCGGATTATGAAATGCGCTCCCCAGAGAGGTTCGCCTGGTGCCAAGCTTATACTCTTTTCTGTGCCAGGTCAAAACCTTTTGATTTAATCATTATTTTAAAGATTAGTATTTTAATGTAACAGTTGCTCTTTACTTAATTTATTTTTATTGGTTGCATGTTATTTATTTATTGTTATAGATTGTTTTAGTGTGTTTTTTTATTTTAATGATTGTAAACCGTCCTGAGATGCCATGCATAAGGGATGGCATATAAAAATTTTAAGTACATAAATAAATAAATGAACAATAAATAATAGTCTATATTGGCCATGGTGCACTAGAGAAAATGTAGAGAGAGGGGCGCAGCGAACACCCTGGGGATCAGAATGCCAAGCATGGATGCAGGGAGAGGGTCCCTTTCACTTGCAAGTCTCATCCCCAAAGTGGTGGGAGGAAGAGGAGAGGCTGGCAGTGGAAGGCACTGGCACGCATTTTTTGAGGGGGGGAAAATGCTTCGCCAGACACTCTCTGCCCAGAGCAGGCCACTTAGTGCTGGTCAATACTGTGGAACAATCAGCCCCGCAACGAGATTCCAGAGAATGCACTGGGAGCTCTCTCAACACATACCTCATACCCTGTAATCGCGATCTGGTGCATGGAGTCATTAGCCGACTTGATGATATCAAGCACTGTAGCCAGCGCTTCTTCCAGTTCAGCGGTGCCTTCTGAATTCTTGCTGCATTTCAACATTTCCTGATTTAAAATAGATACAAGTTGCATACTCAGCATTAGAACGCCTGGCAGACATTATCATTCAAGCAAACCTTAACTGGAGATCTCTGGCAAAAAAGACACACTTCTTGGATTTCATGCATGCAGCGATCTGCCAAGACAGAGCTTCCCATCTGGTGACATCTACAAAACAATTGGCAGTCTGCATTTCCTGTGAAATGGTGACTAAAACCTTAGAAACACCATTTCCTGATCAGAAATGGGGGTGGTGGGGGAGTAAATGCTACAATTCTCCTTGCCATGTAAAAGGACTATACACACAGTCAAGTGGTCACAAACACACTGGAGTTAAATGATCAGTTGCAGAATGGTGTCCTAGGTCCCTCACCCAATTACCTTGAGGAAAACGAGTAAAACTATGCTAAATATAGGCATGGTTCCCTTGTGGCCCTCAAGTTGGATGGCAACTCCCATGAGCCCTAGTCAGCAATGCCCATGGTGAGGGATGATGGGCATTGCAGTCCAGGAACATCTGAAGCAGCATATATTCCCCATCTCTGATGGAAAGGCATGTCACTGAAATGCATTACACATTAGCAACGCTATCACAATATATTGTTTCCCTTATTGTTCTCCCAGGGCATTTTGTTTGTCTTTTTAAGGAGAGGAGCTAGGAAGGCTATTCAGGACCCAGCCCCAAAATCTGGCCAGGCAGTTCCCAGTATCTCCATATTGGCTGGGGAATAGCTGGAGTTGTAAGGCTTATTTTGAATGATGCCCTAAAGCAGTAAAAATTGAAAATATTAGCTTTCTTAGCCTGTTTGCAAAATCAGGTAAACTCCACAAGGGCGGGGGGGGGGGGGGTCAGAAGTAACACTAAGCTGCCAACTTTCGCAGTCCTCTAGCTATTGGTGATATGAGCTCTGACTTCAATATACTGAAGTAAACTCTCCATAACTGTTGGCTAAGACTGCGTATAAATGCTGTGCCTCTGGGTGAGATGTCAATGGCATGGATAAGCAGTGTGCATATAAGAGCACTGCACATGAATAGTGTTACTGGGTATGCCAGTGTGAGAATGAAGGTGTTTGAGAGAGTATGTCGATCACGTATACACCGACGGGGCATTGCATGTACACAGAATGCCAAAGAATATATGCAGTTCTCCTTATGTCTTGCTGTTTGCAAACTGTATAAACCAAGAGCTGGTCCACAATGTTCTTGGGCATGTTTTGGAATAAACCCTCTGCTTGACCTTAACAGTGCTCCTCATCATTGCTGGTCTGTCATGTCCCTGGTTTAAAAAAGGACATTCAAAGGTTACCATCACATATATGAACTTATGAGCTCCTGGTGCCACTGGAAATTCTGCTCTCCCACTGCTGGGGATTTTTTGGGGTGGGGGCGGGTGTTGAGAGAAGACTCACTAGTGAACCTTTGGGTGAAACTAGGAGTCCTTTCTTCATTCTCATGTCTAGTGATCCTGGAACAGGCTGACCTTTAGACAAAACAAGGCTGCATTTTAGACAAGCAGGATCCACATTTTGGACAGGAGTTGCGTTTTTGCAAAATTGGTCAGTGTGCTTGGTTTCCATGGAACCATGCAACAAGGAAGGTTTATTCCATCTTTTTTTCTCTGAGAACTATGCAGTCCTGTTGCTCACCCAACCCAAAGACTGACTTTTTACTTCTTCCTTTTCAGTAGTAACTGGTTTGAAATATTCCCTCTGAGCTGAATGCCCAGACAGAATGAAAGTGACTGCCCTTAGATGTAATGGTACATTATGTCTTATCTGTATAAGAAAAAGGTTAGACAACACTTACTCTTATGGGCTTTCATTTCCTCTCTTATTTATGGCACAGTCGCAAGGAGGAGTTTAGAAAATTTCACATCAGTTTTCAATTCAACCATTTAAGAATTTTTTAAACCCCTTGAGAGGTATATAAGAATTACTAATAAGTAATTGGCTTATGGAAAAAGAGAAAGCATCTGCAGACAATCCACACATTCCAGTGTAATGTCTTGTTCAGCCAAAAGAGATCTTGGCCAAGGCTCAAGACTTTAAGCAGGAGCCAGCCAGCAAGCTTGCCTTCACAGAATTTGCACAAGTAGGGCAAGATGCTGGTGAGAAACTGTGGAGCAGAATTTAAAGGCAGGCGGAGATCAACAGCCTAAGGTTTGATGAGTGGAATTAGTGAAGGAAAGAGAAAATGCAGGAGCACATTCTCGTAACAGGTGTGGGATCACCTGTTGAAGGAACTGTACTTCACTGATTGGCTTATTGAGATGATTGATGCCTGGGGATGCAGCACATCCAGCAGGACAGTAGTTGTCCTTCTGTCCAGCTGCTCCAAAGCACCACGTATTCAAGGGTAGGCATAGCTGAACACCTGCCAAGGGTTCACAGAACAGCAAGAGGCCACCAACAATAGTTCCTTGGAGCGCCTCTCTCTTATCTGCCTGTTCCCCACCTCTCTCTCTGGTCCAGACCATGCTGCTGCTGGTGAAAAGGACAAGCAGATGCCGTTGCCTGTTTGCACACCATTGAACACACGTGTCATAGCAGCTAGTGGCAATAGTAGGGATAAAGTAGACCCCTGTGGGTGCAGGCTCAAACCCTGGAGATGGCACTGCTTCTACCCTGTCTATATTCTGCCCCTCCGTAATTCTTCAGGTATTTCCTATCCACTTGAGTACATGGCTCAGTGTGTGCAGAACTGGTCAAACGTGATTTTATCCTGAGCACTGCACTGACCCTGCCAGAGAACTTTATTTTCCTAAGATCTAATCTTAACATGTGTTTACTGGTTGCCTTTTTTCCCCAAGGAGTAAGTAGAAAGAAAACCAGCACAGTTTATTAATGCTCTTCTATTAAGCTTGAAACTGAGATTGTTTCTAGTTGCTGTTTTCCAAAGATTTACTGTGTTGTGACTGATTCGGTGAACCACCTGCCTATGGACTGCACTACTTTCCCATCCTTTTAACACAAAAAATAGCAATGCTGCAATAAGAAAAAGATGGAAGCAGCACTGGAAAAACACAAGAGCATTTTGAATATCCACACTAACCTGCTAGAGTTGTCTAGCTCTTTGACAGAACCCAGCTTTTTCCAGAGCCGTGGTTAAGAGGAGCACAACGCACTGGAAGATTCCTGCCTTCAACAGAAGACTTAGCTGCACTCTTACAGACGGGCCTGGCTGTGAAGTTGGCCCACAACAAACTGACCATGAGGGCCACTTTTAATGTGCCTCCAGGTAAATATGTCCTGCAAGACTTCCTGTCTGTCTGTTTTTAGCAGCCAACACATCTGGGACAAAGGTTCTTTCTAGCTCAGCTTCTCTCTGTTGCACTAATTTGCAGGAGGGTTTTTACAGAGAGAGAGATTCAAGAGTAACTTCCCTTATTTGTGGCCCAAAGTAGTACAGTCCACAGTCTCCCTGCAGGAGTCATTATAGGCTCAATTGCACCTCATTATACAGTATGTGATAAACTAAGCCTCAGACTCAGTGCAGGTCTCCTGGCACTGCCAGTTCAAATACAAAATGCACAGTGCAGCTATCCATCTTTTCTTCCTTCCTTAACTGATGTTGCACAATAAGGAAAAAGATGGAAGAAGCAGTGAGAAAACAGGGGAGAACTGCAGGTGGATGACGGCAATGCCAGGCCCACCTCCCTGTTAAAATCCTGTGAACAAAGCCATATGATTGCACACTAAAAACCTCATCTGGAAGCATGCTCAGTGGATTTTTTCTGGAAACAAAAAAGACAGCAGCATTGTGAAAATACGGGAGGGCTGCATAATTTGAAGGCTGCAAAATTCCATGCATGAAGCAGCGTGACTGCATGATACAAACCTAATCAGAAAGCATCTTGGGGCTCAGGACTCAACCTTTATCTGGTGAGTTGCTTTTAAGACTGGACTAAGGTCCATATTTTAATGTATAGGTGTGATTTTTTTGAACCGATTGGCTGAGTTCTGAGTGGTTAAACTTAAAATAGATGCTGGATTAATGGACAAAATCTATTCAGTACAAGATGCATCATGTTATGTTTCTCCTTTGTTTTTGTTTAAATACTAGCTATGGGGTCAAATGGTTTGTGTGGCATATTCAGGATGGATGGAGATGAAAGTTCCTCTGGGTATGTGCAGAATGCCTTCCCCTGACCACCACAGATCAACTACCAGTCACTAGGTAGCTGGAATCATCAAGCCAGATCTTTCGGCAAGCTTGAACGGCACTCTGTCAGTGTTCCCCAAGCTGGCACCCTCATGAATGCGTAATATTTTAATTCCCACTGGCCATGCTGGCTGGAGATGAAAGGAGCCATCGTCCAACATATGTGGAGGGTGCTGCGTTGTGAAAGGCTGTGGCACATGATCAAGCACTCCCGCCTCCCACTACTTCTCCTTGCAGAAAGTAGCTTTTTGGATTCTGTTCTTACTTTCAAAAGCAGCTGGTACTTGGTAATCCTCTGCACAGGCTTCAAAAGATAAGCGTCAAGGGAGAGTTTATGGTCTAGTTTCCGCTGACATTCCTGGAAAAGAATGGAAAGGAGAAAAGTGACAATACAGTGCTGCTGGTCTGAAAACTGGCCACAACATGCTAGAACTCCAAGAACAACATTACAGATTAGTGTCTTTTTATGCCCAGAAACTTATTTTTATTAGGTAGGTTTATACATATGAGTATCATCTGGCAGCTTAAAAAAGGTGGTTTTACTTTTAACATGCTGTGATGTTGTATCTCAGACTTCAATAGCAGCTCTCTGAAACAGTTCACAATGCATTAAAATCCACAAAACACCCAGTATTCCCCAGATACGTCCCCACGTCTTTGAAGCATAATTAGGAACTAGACTCACACGCACCTAGTCTAAAATTTGTCAATGTATTATTGCTGATGGATGAACCAACTCTATTCTAATTCATAATTTGCTCTTCAAATTAAAATGCAGCAGAAAAACTTGGATCTATGTTCTTATGAGATTTCAAGGCATCTTCATGTTTTTGCAAATGATTGTGACTTCAGTGCATTTAAGGAACATGATATACAGGCTATGGTGCTCTTTTCCAACCCATGCATCAGGATGCATCCTCTTTCAAAAGCTGCTAGCGCATGTGTTTTCTTTATAACTGCAGTAAGTTGTCATATGTGACTCTGTGGGTAAAGATGGCAGCTGCAGAAAGAGCTGAAGCAAAATCAACAACAAACATACACTTCTGTTGCAGGATTTGAAATTGTGCCGACTTTGTTTCTTCCAATGTGACAGACTGTTTTGTGTTTTCAGATGCAAACTTTTGGCGAAGTGTGGCAGGAAAGGTGCAGCTGAAGGTGCACAGGGCTTTTTGTCTTTGCAAGCTTGACGGCAACAAACAACTGAGCATGCACAACGATAGTGGAGTGAATCTGGCTGCTAACCATGCCAACAGTGCAAACTGCACAGGTGCAGAAAATAAACTCATAACCCCTCTCAGGATGAATTACAAAAATATGGGCATTTCTTGGACTGAAGTCAAGAATTGTGAACATGCAAGATTAGATTTACAAACTGACTTGTTCTGAGCTTCACTGGCAATGCTACATGTGTGGTTCCAGTAATTTTTTTCTCAGCATTGTTCTCCTGGGTTTGTAACATGAGATGTAGCACAGGAAGGTTGGGAGAGGGGTTGTGGTTATACAAAGGGATTCCACCTCCTTTGCCAGAAGACCTCATAGGGACTGGAAATTTGGCCCTGGAGCTAGGCCAGAGAAATAGACAAGGGATGCTGACATTCACCCCACTGCCTATCAGTCTCACAACCCAAGCTGGTGGAGGTGTTAGTGTGGTACTGGAAAGCCCCTGAATAGTCCTCCTGAGGAATTTCGATATTCACACCTGGTCTTCATTGTCAGTTCAGAACAACCATGAGGTGGCCTAATTATGTTAATGACTCAAAAACAGAGTATACTTTAGACTGGTGTTTTGAGCTGGATGAAGCTTAGGCATTTGCAAAGGGCTGTGTGTGTGTGTGGGGGGGGCTTCCTTGTATCCCCATTATCATTGGAGGCTGCATATCTTCCTGGACTGGATCTACTGGTGGGACACTAGTGGTCCCTGCCCTACCCACACGGTGAATTCAGGAGTAATTCTGGGTGATTATTCCTCAGCTCCTTGACAACTGAGCTATGGAGTTCCATATGGCAGTACGTGTTCCCCATTGCTGTTTAACATCTGCATAAAGCAGAAGACTGTAGTCATTAATGGATTTGGGGCAAAGTCCCGTCCACACCTAATGATGTACGGTGTTGTGCCCGTCACCCGAATCGGTTGAGCTAGTACAAGTCTTGGATCAGTGCTGGTTGCCACAATCTGGGGTTCAGAATCTTCCCCAAGACCTGAGAAAGGTCTTGGGGAATGGCTCCATACTCCAGGGGACTCCTTGGGACCAGGACATGTGAGTGATCTCTTTCTCCCTCGATAGCCCACATGGTCACTGACGTCATCAGATGAGGTGCTTCCCTGTGGCCTGTTTAGAGTCAGCTTGGGATACAGCTTTCCATTTTCCAGTTTCCTCTCTGAGAAATTCCCTGCCAGTTGTCAAGCAGGCACCAACATTTGTTTGTTTGTTTGTTTGGAATCTTTCCAGGCTGTCCAATCACTCTGCGTCTCTGAATGGCTTACAACAAAATCAATAAATACAACAGTATAAATATAAATATCATAAATTCCCCAAACAATAATAAAACTAAATAACTCATGACTGAAAAAAAATAATTAAAATCTATTAAACATTAAAATATTGGGTAAATAAAAAGGTCTTGACCTGGTGCCAAAAAGCATATAGTGTCAGTGCCAGGCAGACCTCTCTGGGGAGCGCATTCCATAGCTGGGGTGCCACCGCAGAGAAGGCCCTCCTCCGGGTATTCTGTCTCCTAATCTTCTTCAAGGAGGGTTCCTGGAGCAGGGCCTCTGCTGCAGATCTTAAGGGGGAGGAGGGCATGTAGGGAAAAAGACGTTCCTTCAGGTATCCTGGTCCCAAGCCATTTAGGGCTTTATAGGTCATAACCAGCACCTTGAATTGAGCCCGGACTTCAACTGGAAGCCAGGGGAGCTGGTAGAGGACCAGAGTTATATGAGAGCAACGCCCAGTCCCCGTCAGCAACCTGGCAGCTCTACTTTGCACCATTTGAAGTATCCGGACCGTCTTCAAGGGCAGCCCCACGTAGAGCACGTTACAGTAGTCCAACCGGGAGGTTACCATTGCATGTGTCACCAATGCTGCTTTGTTTCTTATGTCTGCTGAATATATTTTTATTTAATAAAGCAAAGATTAGGGTATATATTGATTTTAAATGTTGTTTTGTACTCTGCCTCTTTTCAAAATGTAGAGCAGTGAAGCTCAAAATAAAATAAATGGAAGACCAAACCTGAGAGCTAGGCCAGGCAAGGGAAGATTCCTCCAGTGACTTAACTTTACAGTGATTTTTTTAGCAAGAGGAAAGTCACTCATGGAGTGCCCCATCAGTGGTACAGAGGGTCTCCTATCAGCTCACTCTGCTGCATGTGTAGATCCACACTGGATTTCAGAGTGCAATGAGAAGAGTAGCCTGGAAGAGGGGTAATGAATAGCTGTGTTTGTTGGCCCCAAGACCAATGCTTATCATATATCACTTGGCTTTTTCCAAAGTTCCGCGTTATTTGCCTCAGGATCAGTTTAGCTGTCTCCTTGATTGAGCTGTTTTTCAACAGATTCCAGTAAAACACATGGTTAGAGTTCATTATCAGGATGGCGGGAACATGGCCAGACCCGCGATATATTCTGAAGATCAAGTATTCTTTAGAAAATATCATATTCCTGTTTTTAAGGTCTTCTGTTCTCTTTTTAGACATTGAGAGACTATAACCTATTCACTCTCTCTGTCTCTCTCTTCCTCTCTCCATATGTGTGCGTATGTGTGTGTGTAAGGCCATAAAAAGCAGGTACACCCATAGATTATTCACTATTTTAGGGGTGAGCAACATACTCCTTGCAAACCACATGCAGCCTTGTCAGATGTTCTTGAAGGCCTCCACCATGGTTGCTGCTGCAAAGTTCAGAACGAAAACCATGCAATTTTCCCTTTCAGCATGGCATGCAGGGAGTGTACTCCTTGTTGAGGAGAACTCTCTTTCGGGAAGCCTCCCCTGAGCACGATTCTGCTCTCCAACAGGGTAAATGCACTCCTGCACCCTGCTAAAAAAAAAGGCTGCCTTTTCGCCATAGCCTTGCCACCAAGCTCTCCCAAGATGATGGGAGGACCTTCAGCAGCCACTGAGGCAGCCCAGTGGGTCCTGGGGGGGTGGGTGTTCCTCAACTTGCCCAGAGCAAGAGCAAAGGGCTAGCACTAGTAACGCCAGAAGGAATGAAGTGCAGGGTCAAAGCCGGAAGGACACTCAGTTGTGGATGTATCTGGTGGTGAAAGGAAAGTCTGATGCTGTAAAGAACAATACTGCATAGGAACCTGGAATGTAAGATCTATGAATCAAGGCAAGTTGGACATGATCAAACATGAGATAAGACTGAACATCAACATCTTGGCAATCAGGGAACTAAAATGGAAAGGAATGGGTGAATTTAATTCAGTTGACCATCATATATACTACTGTGGGCAAGAATCCTTCAGAAGAAATGGAGTAGCCTTCATAGTCAATTAAAGAGTAGGAAAAGCAGTACTGGGATACAATCTCCAAAATGACAGAATGATCTCAGTTCAAATCCAAGGCGAACCATTCAACATCACAGTAGTCCAAGTCTATGCCCCAACCACTGGTGCTGAAGATGCTGAAGTTGACCGGTTCTATGAAGGCCGACAACACCTTCTAGAATTAACACCCAAAAATGATGTCCTTATCATCATGGGGGATTGGAATGCTAAAGTAGGAAGCCAAAAGATAACCAAAATAGCAGGCAAGTTTGGCCTTGGAGTACAAAAGGAAGCAGGGCACAGGCTGGTAGAATTTTGTCAAGAGAACACGCTGGTCACAGCAAACACTCTTTTCCAACAACCCAAGAGACGACTCTGCACATGAACATCACCAGATGGTCAACACAGAAATCAGACTGACTATGTGCTCTGCAGCCAAAGATGGAGAAGCTTTATACAGTCAGTAAAAAAAAAAAAAAAAGACCAGGAGCTGACTGTGGCGGAGATCATGAGCTTCTTGTTCCAAAATTCAGGCTTACATTGAAGAAAGTAGGGGAAAGCACTAGGCCACTCAGGTATGACCTAAATCATATCCCTGATGAATATACAGTAGAGGTGACAAATAGATTTAAGGAATTAAATCTGATAGACAGAGTGCCTGAAGAACTATGGACAGAGGTTTGCAACATTGTACAAGAGGTAGCAACTAAAACCATCCCAAAGAAAAAAAAAAGCAAGAAAGCAAAATGGCTGTCTGAGGAAGCTTTACAAATAGCTGAGGAAAGAAGGGAAGTGAAAGGCAAGGGAGCAAGAGAAAGACACACTCAATTAATTGCAGAATTCCAGAAAATAGCTAGAAGAGATAAAAAGGCCTTCTTAAATGAACACTGCAAAGAAATAGAGGAAAACAATATAATGGGAAAGACTTGAGATCATTTCAAGAAAACTGGAGATATGAAGGGAACAAAATTCATTATTCAAAATCCTAAAAGACAATGCAGTTAAAGTGCTACACTCAATATGCCAGCAAATTAGGAAAATGCAACAGTGGCCACAGGATTGGAAAATGTCAGTTTACATTCCAATCCCAAAGAACGGCAACACCAAAGAATGTTCAAAATACAATTGTGCTCATTTCACATGCTAGCAAAGTTATGCTCAAAATCCTACAAGCTCAGCTTCAGCTGTATGTGGACTGAAAACTACCAGAATTGCAAGCAGGGTTTCAAAGAGGCAGAGGAACTGTACATACATGGCTGCCACCCTGCCTATTTAACTTATATGCAGAGCACATCATACGAAAGGCAGGGCTAGATGGAATTAAGATTGCTGGGAGAAATATCAACTACCTCAGATACACAGACTATACCACTCTAATGGGAGAAAGTGAAGAGGAACTAAGGAGCCTCTTGATGTGGGTGAAAGAAGAGAGTGCAGAACTTGGCTTGAAACTCAACATTAAGAAAACTATGATCATGGCATCCTGTCCTATCACTTCCTGGCAAATAGATGGGGAAGAAATGGAGGTAGTGATGGATTTTATTTTCCTGGGCTCCTAGATCACCACAGATGGGGACTGCAGCCAAGAAATTAAAAGACGCTTGATCCTTGGGAGGAAAGCTATGGCAAATCTAGACAGCATATTAAAAAGCAGAGACATCACCCTGCCAACAAAAGTGCGTACAGAGAAGGCTATGGTTTTCCCAGTTGCAATGTATGGCTGTGAGAGTTGGACCATAAGGAAAACTGAGAGCCGAAGAATTGACACCTTTGAAATGTGGTGCTGGAGGAGACTCCTGAGAGTCCCTTGGACTGCAAGGCGATCAAATCAGACAATCTTAAAGGAAATCTACCCTGAGTGTTCTTTAAAAAGTCAGATACTAAAGATGAAACTCAAATATTTTGGCCACCTAATGAAAAGGAAAGAGTCACTGGAGAAGATGCTAATGCTGGGAACAATTAAAGGAAAAAGGAGAAGGGGATGGCAGAGGTTGAGATGGCTGGGTGGGGTTACTGGGGTAGTCCGTGTGGGCTTGGGTGGACTCCGAGGGATGGTGGAGGACAGGAGAGCCTGGAGGAATGTTGTCCATGGAGTCATGCAGTTCAGACACAACTTAGCAACTAAACATAAAACAAGCAAGAAGGGTAGCGGTTTAGATAAGAAGGTAAGGATCAGATCAAGTTTAGTGAATAAGTGATATAGGAAGGTTACATGAATCCACATGGTCTTGTTTCTTCTGCAGTTGGTCCAGGGTTACAAAATTAATTTATCTGAGAAGAGGTGAGGCTGTGGAATAGCTTAGCTGCCTGGAACCTAACTAATACCCACCTGGAAGAAAAGACTGTCTCCACATTGTCTCCAGAGAGCCTCTGACCTTGGCTTGTTTTGGCAATATTTTTCATATATTTGGAGATCTTCTTTCTGCAACAAAAAGGAAACAAGTTTCAAGCAACAAAAGTTGAAGTATCCAACTGAAATTCTTTCCTAAATAAATAAGGTGGACTGACCCTTCTTACTATGGTTCGTGACTCAGGAGCCAGCTAAGCTGTCTGGACTTTCCCTCCAGTGCCTCTGTTTCCAAGAACAAGCGCCCTCTTCCCCACACAACCAGAGATGCACACAAAACATACATACAGGCCTTCCCTTAACCGAAGATCTCCATCCCCTTCAAATCAGTTTCAGAGCTTCTTGGCTAGGCCTGCATGCCACCATTCAAACCACACCGGACAGAACTGTGGTACCAGGACTTGCTCACGAGAAGCAATTAGGATGGAACCATCATCGTGAGCCGAGCAGTCGCTCGTGTTCCACAGTGGGAAAGGATCTGCTCCAATGGCGCCCAGGAAGCACACCTCTGTGGAGTTTGGGAAGGCTCTGACTAAGCAGGACTGAGAGCCTAGGGTTGAAGTGGACAGCTTGACTGAAAGGCTGATCCCGTATGTAGCTGTTGTGAAAAAGGCAGGCTCCATGCTGGGGTTCATAAAGAAAGGAATAGAAAATGAAACTGCTAATATCATCCTTCTCTCCTTCCCTCTTTTCCTCTCTGGCAGACTCAGATAAGACTTTGGAAGCTTACAAAACAGTTTAAATCAAAGTAGTATCCTCCTCAAGATATGGGAGATGCATCCACTTATGCAAACAGTTGATTCAAAACTGAAACTTCCTCCCCATCTCTCTCTTTTAGAAAAGCTTCTGACTCCACCCTCAAGGTGACTCTTGCTGCTTGAAAGCTAGATGGTGGGAACAGCAGACACTTCACAATTGTGGCCACTCATTTCCCGCCACTTCCAATGTCAACAAACTCCTTCTACATTTCCTCCACACAGCCAAAGCTCTCAAAATTCCCCTTCCTTTTTCAAAGACAGACAGGTTTACACCTTGAAACTTCCAAGTCAACTGCCTACTTTAGCCTCCTCCTCAGAATCAGATGAATCTGTCTGAGAAGACTGTAACATCTTAGTGCTGGGCCCCATCTTTTCACACTTAGAGGCTGGATATTCTCTGCCATAATTGTGAAATCAAAGCTTATGAGAAAGGGGCTTATAGCCTCTTTGTGGTAAGATCCTTATCTTTTTCTTTTTTGTTCTGACTCTCCTTGGGGTCTTCTACATTCATCTGCCCAGGAAAGTGTAAAAGTGCATCCCATCCCATTTTCAGGGGAAAGGAGTTTTGACAGCTGCCTGTCAAATTTCAGGCTCCTTTTTAAAATAAGATTTTGGCAGAGCAATGGGCATTTTTGAAAAGGGAAAAAGCTACTGTCTGTCTGTGTGTGACAGAGAGAGAGGGAGGGAGGGGATGGATGGATATTGTATGTCTGGAAATGTGCAGAAAAGGTCCACCAAGGAAATGCTTACAACATTTCAAGCCCTTTAGCTTTGAAAAATGGAGAATAAGAAGAGTCATGCTAGAAGAGCATACAATTATGTATGGTGAGGAGAAAGTGTATATGAAGCTGTTTTTCTTCCTCAGAATACCAGAATGTTCAGGACAGATGAAAACAAGAACTTCTTCCTATAGTACACAGTTAAATTATGGAATTTGCTACCTGATGTCGCAATTGACACCATCTTGAACAGCTTTAAAAATAAATTAAGCAAATTCTTGGAGGATGCACCTATCAATGGTTGCTATTTGCGATATCAGAGGCAGCCTGCTTCTGTTGCTGGGTAACATGGAAAGGAAGGTGCTATCGTATCCATGGGCTTTCCATGGGCAACTGGTTGGCCAGAGGACACTATTTAAGCCTTCGGTTTGAGCCAGCATGGTTCCTTGAGTTCTTACATGCCTCAGAACAAAATAATGCCCAGCTTTGGCAACCACCCCCCACCAGTCCATACCAATCTCTATCAGCAGCTGAGAAATTTCTTTTGGGCCAAAGAAAACATGGTCACTGCCCCAGTGGCTGATGAAACAGAAGGCTGCGATGCAGCAGCAAACAAAGAAACACACAGGGAAGGCAGCCTTGCACAGAGACTTTTGCCTAGTCCTTTAACCTAGCTACTGCCTCAAGAGAAGGAACAGCTTTTACGACCTGACGTATCTGTCTCCCTCGGGCTGAAATTGCACCATGCCAGGGAAGCCCAGGAATCCAAGAAAATTATTTTTGTCGGCATCATGGGTCAAGCACAGGGTTTTTCTTTGCACATTGAAAATAAGTCTTCAGTTATGGGCTGAGTTAGAGCAGATGCCTCTGTGCCTGCTTTTCAGTCCAAGAGGATTGCTTGAATGCTTCAGAGAAGGTGAAGGCCAGCAACAAAGGCGTATTTCTTTTCAGAGTGAAGCTCTCATTGCCTCTGCAAGATTTATAGTATCGTCCTTTTTATGAGGTATCAAGTTAACTGCTTTTAACAATCATTTCTTTTTCTTCATGGTGAAAATAATGGCACCATTTCTGTTTGCTGAGCTACGACCATGCATTGCAGCTTAAAATATGCAGCTCACAGAAGTTAATGGACTGTTTAAAGCAAAATTAACAGTTGATTAGTTTTAGGAATCTAAATAGCACGTTCTTCCATGCCTGGCAGACCACCAAAGCAACCAGAGCAACAGGAAAATAAAACCAAGAAGCTACACAAACACAAAAAGCAACACAAAGTGGATCATGGAAACGATCATGTGCACCAACTGCACACCATGGTTTTTGTGTGGTTGCTTGTCAGTCACTCCCCATGGAATCCCTCAAATTGTTTTGTAAGCTTCCTTGAGCTTAAACAATTGGCTTGAGATCATCTGAACTCTCAATGAAGGGCTCTGTGTGTCTATTGTTCTTGCCAGTATTTCTCTTCAAGGAACTCCAGTGAATGCTTTTTATGGTCAGTGTGCTAAAGTGATCACAGCAAGTTTCTCCCAACCTAGAGGGAAAGCACAAGGATGGGGAAGGATGGACTTGAGGGCCAAACCAGGACACAGGAATCCCATTTCTTCCTGAGCCATGAAGCTCATTGGATAACCTCAGGCCAGTCACAATTTCCCTGCCTGATCTAGAGAAAAATGTACCTAAGTGCTGGAGAAGCTGTGGGGTTAAATTTTAATCAATCAATTAGTTGAACCAACAATTAATGGTAGAAAGACAGACTGTCCTGCTTTGCACATAGCAATAGCCCAGAGTATGGGAAGTCATTGAAGGATGGGTCATTGCTGAGTTGTGTACTGTCATCATGTGTGAATGCTGCAATATGGGTTGCTAAACATGAGCAACTTGGATTCACCAGGATTATTAGCCAGTGGGAGCCTTCTCTTCATGAATTTGTCCAATCCACTTCAAAAGCAATCCAAATTGGTGCCTGTCACCATGGAAGCGAATTTCATAAATTGTTGTGAACTGGTTAGAGCTCTAGCTGTTGGATGATATAAAACTATAATCTACCTATCTATCTATCTATCTATCAACTATGCACGGTGTAAAGACCTTCCTTTAATCAGTCCTGCATCTCCCACCAATCAGCTCCATGGTTCTAGCGGAAACTCGGTTCTAGCAGTATGAAAGTGGGAGAAAAATGAATGTTTCCCTATGCACTTTCTCGTAACAATGCACAACTTTGTACACTTCTATCATGATTCCCTTTATTCACCTTCTTTCCTAAGCTGCAGTAACCTTTCTTTACAGCCTGCAGCCCCTTGATCATTTTAGCTGCCCTTTTCTGCACTCTTTTCAACTCCAAAATAGCCTTTTTAGGTGTGGCAAACCATACACAGTAGTCTAAGTATGGTCACAATGATTTGTGTAAGGGTAGTATGATACTGGCAGTTTTATTTCAGATTCCTAACACGGAGATGGTCTTTTTCACAGAACAGTGGGTTGACATTTTCATCAAGCTGTCTTCTACAATCTCAAGATCTTTTTCTTGGTCACCTCAGATCCCATCATATTATACCTGAAGGGGTTTTTTTTTGTTCCCGCATGCATCACTTTATACTTTCTTTTCATTGAGCTTCATTTGCCATTTTGATGCCCATTCTCGAACTTGGGCAGATCCCTTTGGAACACCTCACAATCCCTTTCAGATTTACCCATCCTAAATAGTTTGGTGCTATCAACAAGCATAGCCTCTTCTTTACTTGCTCCTAATTTCAGGTCATTTATGAATAAGCTGAAAGGCAATGCTCCCAGTGCAGGTTGCTGTGAGACCCTACTGTTTACATCCCAATCATTGGGAGAATTTACCACTGCTCTTTAGAAGGTCAGGTACTAAAGCTGAAGCTCAAGTACTTTGGTCACCTAATAAGGACTCATTGGAGAAGACTCTGATGTTGGGAATGATTGAAGGCAAAAGGAGAAGGGGGTAGCAGAAGTTGAGGTGGCTGGATGGGGTCACTGGAGAGGTGGGTTTGGCTGGACTCCAGGGGATGGTGGAGGGCAGGAGAACCTGAAGGAATGTTGTCCATGGAGTCACAAAGAGTCGGACACAACTTTGTGACTGAACAACCACTTTTCCTTGCTATCTTATTTTTGTTCTTTAATAAATTATTGATTCAGAAGAAGACCTCTCTTCTTATCCTACAAAAGCTGTTTGGTCCGGAATCCTTGGTGAAGTCTTTTGGAAATCTAAGTAAACCAAGTTTACTGGATCAACCCTGTTTACATGTTTGTCTGTACTTTCAAAGAACTCTAAAAGTTTAGTGAGGCAGAAAAAGACTGCGAGAGCATTGTAAGTCTTTGCCTGATGCAAAACAGATAGAAATATTGGTACCGGATGGGCTTGCCTGGTGAGGGAATTCCAGAAATGGGGTTCCACATTGAGAAGGCCAGGTGGATTAGTAGATGTCAGCAAAATCAACACATTGGAATTGAAAACAAATTATCTAGCCCTCAAACTCTGCGTCTTGACTTCCGGTTGCAATCTCAGTGGCCACTAAACATTGAGCTCTTTAATGTGATCAGATATGAAGAACTGCACCCCACAGCATTGAGAAACCAGATTAACCAAACAACTTAGAGTTGTTTACCCTTTTTGCCCTTGGGGTTAATTTGCTTACCCTTTTTAAAAAGCACCGACCAAGAAGCTCTGGATTTTCAATACAGTTTTCCAGCTCTTTGAGGAAGATTCTGCCACAGAGATAAAAGAGAGGAAAAAATAGAAGAGTTTATTGTATTGCCAGTTTGATTCAGGTCTTTGTTTAAATTTTGACTGAAATGTCCCCTAGCACAAAATTTGAATATTTTGAAATAGCCAGAAGCATATATTTTAAAGCTTTTTATGTCACCTTCCAGAACCATTCCAGCAAAAGGAAGGAGGGAAACATTTAGCTCCTTAGGACATATAACCATTCTCAAACGTGACTGGACAGTATATCTGTAATATTTCCTGCCATTGCTACAAACTCCATTGCCACAAGTAATGGAAGTGCGGAATTACAATTTGCAAAACACAGCACTAACTTTGTCAACAACTCTTCTTAAAATGGCTGCTGCCATTCACGTTTCAATTCTCTACTGGTGTTTCCCAGAACAATTTCCTTCCTGATACCCCATTCACATAACATGTTGGTTTCTCACATTATTATGTTTTCTCAATAGAAAAGTCAAAGTATTACTCATATAAAAAGTTTTTCACCTACTGCCAACCTGTAAGCAATGCTCTTGTTCTGGTTCAGATCTTAAAAAGTGATAACATTTTAACCAGGGAGAGAGCAAGGAGGCACCTGACCTTAAGGCGCGTTCAGGTGAATGATTCCGAGCTTTACTAATGAAATGGCAGCTATTCTGTCTTTCCCTCCTTAAGGGATTTTAAGGGTGAGGAAACAGACAAAAGAAGCAGTAGAAAAACACAGGAGAGTTACATTGTGTGGCTATCTCCCCTTTCTAAGCTTCCATGTTTGAGGCAAGATGATTATACAATAAGGACTACCCAAAAGCACTCTCAAAAGTCTATGGTTTCAGTCAAGATCCACAGAGGTTAGCATAGGGACTAGTGATGATCCCTGTTTGTAATCCACTATGAAAATATACTGTAGACTCTGGACAGAAAAGATAATATCCCATGGAGTGTTCTGCAACTTCCATTGTAAAATGTTCATGCACGGTTATATAGTATAACATGCCAGCACACCTGTTGTGAAATTCATAGATTTCAGATAGGTTTCCAAACAGAATTTCCTTCTTGTTTGAAATTGCAGTTGGGACCAAGTGTATTAAATCAGGATTCTCCAATTCTGAGGCATAGCCCTGTTAGAAAAAGAGCAATGTGGGAAAAAATGAAAGTTTACAACCAGAAGCTCAGGTTTTCTTTTGGTCAAATCAAATTACCAAGAGAAAGAGAGAGATGGGGGTTGCTTTCTCAGGGTCCACTGATGCAATCTTTCATGATAAAACTAGTGTTCATTCAGTGTCTAGGACAGTCTTCCTTCCCCAGTAAAAATATAACCAGTCTGTAACAAAGCAATCCACATTTTGCAAAATGGAAACCTAAATTCTGTGTACTATAGAACATTTTAATGGTTACCTCTACTGCTTTGTTATTTGGTTTAGGAACTGTTGCAAATTGCCAAGAAAGCGTCAGAAATTAAATAAACTAAAATAAATTCTGAAATCTGTATGAACAATTTCAGCAAATGATCTTGATTTTACTCCTTCCTAGGACAAACTGGAACAACCTGATTTAATGCTACATCAGCGCTTGTAGTGTTGGTCCAAGAAGCCTTCCCAGTTCTGTTACTGCAATCCAGAGCAAAAGGAATAAAACGGGTGGCAAAGATAAAAGACTTAAAAGCCTGTAACCACCACCCCAACTGCCATAAAATGACACTGGATAAATATTTTGTAAATTTGTATGCTCCTCTCCAAAATTGAACTCCTATTTTCCAGGGCTCCCTTGGCCTTTGGCATCCCCCCCCCCCCACACACACACACAAACATATTTCAGGCAGAACTAATAGTAACAGTAAATCAATACACTGGCATAAAACACTGAGATAGAGATTACATTATCCTACTGAGTGTCCCAAAATGCACAGTTGCTAAGTTGTCTTTGACTGATGCATAAAGGCACAAAGAGAAGGAGCCTCTGATCTCCAGAGGCACCTTCCTGAGAGGACTGATTGGTTTTCAAGCTTTACTAGCTTCCAAAATGAAGTGTCATCTTTTTAAATGGAAGCAGTCAATACTCCCCCGAGGCAGTGTATTGTTAGAGAAGTCCAGTAATGGTAGTCAAGCTTTTTTTTCCAGGGAAGCTTGTCTGGCATTATTGGACTTCTCATAAAGGACATTCAAATTATGCTTAAAAAAGAAAAAAAGAAACAGTGAGGTTCCTTGGATCACACTTCAAAAAGCACTGTCTTCCATCAGCAGGGTAAGTGAGAAGACAGATGCAATGTTTTTAGAGCACTAGGAATTCTAGAAGGACCCTGAGTTTACGAAGTGCAAATATCCCAGGACCAACGTCTAAAAGCAGTTCCGTAGGTCTGAGTGGCTATCTTCTGTGATGTCACCAAGGGGCTTTCTCCAATACCCAAGAGCAATTTAAAGTGTTTGATTCTCACCAGAAACAAACAAACAAACAAACAAACAAAGAGGGAGGGAGGGAGGGAGGGGAAGGGAAGGTGACCGATGAGCAGTTAAGTGCATGAACATTCAAGTGACCCTTTAAAATAAGAGGCAGACAAGTTGACCAAAGGTTCCCAGGGAGACGGAACAAAGCTTAGCCAGCATTTGATATCTCCCACTAGGAAAAAAGGTGGTATATTAAATGCATAACAACAACAACAACAATAAGCTGGTCTGTGCAGCTGTCATTTCAACTGATGCATGCACCAATACCTTTCTTGTTGCATGACTGCACTATGTTTTCATAAATACCGAACTTACCTCTAATATGCTCTGAAGTTCCTCTACATAAACCCGTTCTGTTTCTATCAGTTCATTTATTATATGGCTAAGAAAGAGAGAAGAAAGATGAATTTATAGCAGCTTCTGCTATAATCCTGGAGAGATTTTTAACCATGATGTTTTTTTTTTGTGGGAGGGGGATCATTTAAACATGTGGTGGGCTGATGCACACTCTTGAATTCAAGCCTATCATGACCTGGGGGGCACGGTTGTTGCTGTTATTTAATAGGCATGGCTGACATTTTGAGCAGGCAGAAGTTTGGGAAACAGGACTTGAGATACTAAACATATGATGCGAACATGGAGTTTTAAAAAATAGGCAAACTATTATTGTCAATCATTTATAATATTTTCCCTGCTTACATTCCTTGCTTTGGAAGCTGATACAAGAGAAGGCAATGCAGAGCAAATGCAGCTTGCAGCCAAGAGCCACTGTGGAAAATGGGCAATGACCCTTGATGTCCAAACAGAGGCGTTACACACATGGAAGCACCAAAAAGATGGAACCGAGTCAAGGTTTCTTTGCACAGCTCACTTTCTCAGAAGCATCATCTTGTATTTGTCTAAGTAAACAGGAGCCAAGACAGTTTCTGACACAATAATATATCAGTCTGTCACTCACACAGATGTCATAAGGCTTTTTGTTGTGTTTGCTAGAATAACATACTAACACTGCCACATTCTGGAATTTGTCCCAAATAGACACATTTCCACACATGCAGTACTGCAGCAGATGTCATACTGGATGTCCTGGAGCCGAGTTTCAGAGATTTGGGGAATACGGGACTTAGCTGATGATGGTCAAGGTAAGAGAGATTCCAGGGAGGAAAAGAAGAGAGAGCAAAGAAAATTCTTTCAACAAATTCTCCTGGGCTTTCCATTTGTAAGCAAAGAACTGTGGGTAGTTGTTGTTGTTAGTCGCAAAGTCATGTCTGACCCATCGCAACCCCATGGACATCATTCCTCCAGGCTCTCCTGTCCTCCACCATCCCCCAGGGTCCACTTAAGCTCACACCAACTACTTCAGTGACCCCATCCAGCCACCTCATCCTCTGCCATCCCCTTCTCCTTTTGCCATCTATTGTTCCCAGCATTACGGTCTTCTCCAGTGAGTTGTTCCTTCTCATTAGGTGGCCAAAGTATTTGTGTTTCATCTTCAGTATCTGGCCTTCTAAAGAGCAGTCAGGGTTGATCTCCTCTAGGATCGACTGGTTTGATCTCCTTGCAGTCCAAGGGACTCACAGGAGTCTTCTCTAGCACCACAATTCAAAGGCTTCAATTCTTCCACGCTCACCCTTCCTTATGGTCCAACTTTCACAGCCATACATTGCAACTGGGAAAACCATAGCCTTGACTATCCGCACTTTTGGCGGCAGGGTGATGTCTCTGCTTTTTAGTATGCTGTCTAGATTTGCAATAGCTTTCCTCCCAAGGATCAAGCATCTTTTAATTTCTAGGCTGCAGTCCCCATCTGCGGTGATCTTGGAGCCCAGGAAAATAAAATCTGTCACTACCTCCATTTCTTTCCCATCTATTTGCCAGGAAGTGATAGGACCGGATGCCATGATCTTAGTTTTCTTAATGTTGATTACAGCTCAAACCATAGAAAAAGCATGTTGCACCAAGACTGGTATCAGATGCAGCCACTGGGATGGGATGGGATGGGATGTGTATGTCATTCCAGTCCTCAGTCCTATCATGCAACAAACTAAATCCACAAAAGGAGAGTCACCCATCAGTATTGCCACAAAACTGAAATCCTTCCATCTTTCCATGGCACAAATACCAGGAGGCTGCTTTAATCTGTGAACTGGACATTTCTGTACCTTAGGAGAGACCAGTCTGGTGCCATCTAGGTGTCTTCAGCTATGGCTCTCACACTCCTGACCAATGTTCAGGTAGCCTGGGGCTGCTGGAAAGGCCGTGCTAGCGGATTGCCCACCAGCAATCAGCCCCAAACTTCTCCACCCCAGGTGGCTGCACCGCACCAACCGGACATTGCAACCCCGATGCAAACTGTGGAGACACAGCGGTTGCTGGGACCCTTCGCTTCATGCCCCTCCAGCCCTGAAATAACAGCATCTGGTCCATTGGGAGAATTCGTTATTATTCGTTCCATATGGAGGGTGGGGGAATGGGGTGGGCACAGTACATCACTTGGGAGAGTGTCCCCCCCATTTTTAGTTGAAAGGGGCAGAACTGTGTGCCGTACAGTGGTTATTCAATGGGTGGGGTATTTAATTATTTTCTACACAACATTTTTTCAATCTGAATTCCCCCACCTCCAAAACTATTTGTACCTCTATTTTTCCCCATTCCATGACTACTAGTACTTTTGGCTGAATGTGCGGAACACTGCAAGATTGTGGAGGTGGCGGTAGCTGGGCAGGAAGTTTTGCACACCTGAAGCATCGACCACTCTGAAGGCTTTACTATAAAGCTCAAGGAAGGAACACAAAAAATGAAGAAAGAGCCAGGTAGAATTGGAAGAGCAAAGGAACATGAAGAGGGTTTCTTCTGTTCGTTTGTTTCATCACAGGTTGGTAAGGAAAAAGGAACAGTTGTGAAAAAGCACTGACAAGGAGAGGAAGAAAAACTGGGTTTGTAGAAGAGACACTAAGATTATTTGCAAGTAAAAGGATCAAGTAGGAAAAAACTCAAGAAAGATAGAAGGAGAGAAAGAATTTCCTGAGGCAGTTGAAGAACTGAGGGAAAGGGTGGGAACTTCTCCTTTTTATGATTGACGGTAGGGCGGGGAAGGCTTCCTGCCAAAACACTCTTAGGTGCCAAATCCTCCTAGTAAAGGCTCCATGCAGGAAGAGTCTTGTAGATGTGATGCAGAGAGAGCATGCAGAAGAACTAAAACACTTTCCTCTTCCAGCTGAGGCTTTGCCCAGGCAGCCACAACAGCAAGGGCTCTCTACCTCCTGCTTGGTAGCTTGGTAGCGTAACTGTCTCCCACCAGCACCACAAGGAATGGTAAAGAGGAGCGTGGAAACATCCAAAAGAAGTCTTTTTGGTTTTGTTGGGTGGTTTGGAAGGATAAACATTTGACAGACGCATGGTGCATTTGACAAAACACACAATGCTTTCTACCTGTGCTATGCTGTCTGCTCATTCCTCCCTTCAGCATGGATGCTTCCGTTGCAAGCCCAGGCTCGGAAGTTCAAAGCAGCTGCAGCAGTTTTTAATCAGATCTGATCTGACTGTTTAGACACATTCTATATGCGTGAGAGGTGTAATGCAAATAATAATAATAATAATAATGATAATTTTTTATAACACAAGCATTTAATTAAGCCTTGCAACAGTCATGCCAAGGCAAGTATTACTAGCTCCATTTTGTAGGATGGTTAAGCCTGCACACGCTCCAAACACCTGAGGGAGGAAAACCGGGACACTTGTTCTATGGGATTTTAACAAAGGTGCTGCTACACAATTCCGAGTAGGCAGGTAGGGTGGCCACCACATTCTGTTCTGGATCAGGCCCCCTTCATTACCGTCATTGCATCTGTGCATCTTAACAGCAGCCAGACCTACAGAAATGTCATGAGTGAAGCTTTTTCTTGTGTTAAAATATGGTGGAAAGAATGAAGCCAGGAAAAAAATTAAGAACCACCCTGGCATTAAAAAGAGGGCACATGCCACTTTCTTGGGGTCTTAGAGCAGCAAATCTTGCCAAAGATGTGTTTAACTGATGATTTGAAGGGACACTGGGTTCAGCAATCTTTTAACAGCCTCCAGCCCAATGCCTTCAGTGCTTATACATCATGGATTATTTACTTGTAATCCTTTGAATCCACCTAATAAGGAAAAATTATTTGAGCAGATTACATGATAAATGACTGCAAACAGTACACATTTTTTTAAAAAAACTGCAAACAGCATAGAAAATCCAATGTAAAACATTAGAAACAGCCATTCCAGCACACTAAGGGCAAACCTACAATGTAAAAATCCAGAGCCTTCTTGCCTAGCGCCTAGAAGATGAAGACATTAATCTCTGACTGTCTGGGAAAACTGTTCCAACAGTTTCATAAATCAAGATGGAAGTGAAACGGCAGCAACTCAAGTTAAGAACTTGTTGAACCTGATCCGTAGAGGCAAATGACACTAACTCATGCAGAATTTCTTCCTGCATGGCATCACATACAGTGTCTATATAAGTCTTCCAATTCTATGCTCCACTTCTGATGGGTCAGACTTCCCGGCTGTGCATGAAGGCATGCTGTTGATGGACATGCCACAGATTCAGTTCAGCAGCCGTTCCTGGGGAACTGGATTAGGATCGTGTTTCCAGTTGGAATCATGTGAACTTCCATAGCAGGAAGGGCTGCAGTTGCATAAATATGCCAGGGTAACACAGAGCTGGTGTCCTGGCTGAGGGACATCTGAGATGTCCCAGACAAGGAGAGCATCTGCCATCACCCCATTGTGTTAGCTTGGTGCACAGCTGGGGGTTTTCTCTGTCCTGAATGGGAGGTGCAAATTAGTGTAACTCAGCACCAAGTGTGACAAAGGATCATGTTCAGCTGCTGATAACCATGCCATCACTGGTTACAGGAACAAAAGGTGACTGCAAAAATCATTTCATACTCCTAACATATTGACCCTCACCTTTCCAAGGCCTTCCATCATCTTACAGTCCAACATGAAACAGCAATAGAAACACAGTACAAATGTGGCAGCCAGATTGAACCTCTGGGGCCTTCCTCTGCGTGCCAACCCTGTGGGATGCTCAGGGGTAGGGCCTTCTTCGTGGTGGCACTGCACCTTTGGAACAACCTCCCTGCTGCTGCCTGCCTGGCGCCAAATTTGCCATCTTTCTGGCACCAGGTAAGACAGCCTTTTATGCGAGGCCTTTAAAGATCTCTTTGGCTGCCTGAGGGGCTTATCCAAGTGGTTCTTTCCCTTTGCTGTCTTTTTCACTATATGTTTTTAGCTATTTTAAATTTTAGATTCACTTTACATTGTTTGGTTTTTACGGTATTCACATTGCATTGCATTGCAAACTCTCACTTTTATCTCCTTTTTAAGGTTCTTCGCTCCACAATGGCCGCCTGAAGGCCCCTGACAGAATGTTCTAGAAGGCTGATGTTTTCTCCCAGTGTTGTACTTCCTTGAATCAGGATAAAGGATTAACAGCAAACATGTGAAGTGGTTTATCTAGTAGCAGTATGAACTATGAATTGCCAATCACAGTCTCTCAGGCCAACCTACCTCACAGGGTTGTTGTGAAGATAAAGTGGAACTACGTATGCCATATTGAATTCCTCATAAGAGGGAAAAAAGCAGGATACAAATGCAATGTAATCCTAATCTTACCAGTACCAATACCACTGCCCAAGAGCCAAATCTTACTGGGTGATTTATAACAGTTCCTGAAAAGGATCGTGACACAATAAAAACACAGTATTTTTAATGATATGATTTAAAAACAATAAAAAATCTGAATGATTGTCACTGTCAGTACTTTCCACACCAAATTTCCTTGTGATCACAGTGTTTACAATTCCACCCTTCCATACACACCATACGTGCTGTCAATATATGCCTGATGCTTCCACTAATGTGCCTTTGATGAACTAGGCTATATTGCATAAAAACATACACTTGAATAAATGTGTTAAAGATTCAATGAAACTCATTATTTTTTCTACAACAGACTAACTGCTGGAAACAATAAAAAAGAGTCTGCAAATATACCACAATAGCAGCCATTACGCTTCTTCCAATTAGTTTACCAATTAACTCTCATGGCAGGCCAAAAAAGTGGTTGTAAATGCTTGAAATGTTTCTTTGAATTCAGCATAAGCCCTGCATTACAGCAAGGTGCTGATAGTACACTTGTCTCCATTCATTCACTCTTATATCATGTAGTTAAAACAAGTCACAATGTGATGCCAAGATGATAGCAACTGAATGTGCATGTAGCTCCCACTTAAGGAAACACTAATGTGATGAAGTTACGTCACACTTTTAAACATGGCAGATTCCCAGGAAGACAGCAGTGCCCACACTTCTTCCCATAACATATACTATGTTACTAAGTGAATTTTATTCAAATCCCCCTGGACCAAGAGAGAAATACGCAACCATGCTTCTTTTTTGAACCATTTATTTTAAATTTTATGTTTTAGTTACTATTAACAAATCAGTGCAAAAACAGATAGGTAGCCGGCTTTTCTGTGTAAGCTAAATACCAAAAAAGGTCTAAAATGGTTTGGTTTATATAACATACTTATAAAAAATAATAAAATAGGGGATATACCTATATAAACCTCTTAAGACCTTAAACACATATTCTTTGAAAACATCAAAGTAAAGAATATTCCCTTACATACAAAATATACCTTTAATAAACTGATCGCTTCATAGGTCAGCTCCATTTCAGTGTTTACCACGCTTCTTTTAAAGCTTTTAAAGTATTTGAAGAGAATTCGTACCAGCACAAAAGTGTCCCTTGCAGAACTCTGAGGCACAGGGCCAGGAATTCCTTAAACCCTGAAATATAGGCATTTGCTAGGGACCATGGCAGAATTTGCTCTCTGGGAAAGTGTTTGCAAGCCCAGGACTTAGGCAGGGCATTTGCTCTGGATAGCTCTGCACTCCCCATGAAGGAATGGGGGAGCCATCTGGGAGGTCCCCCAGATTCTTCATTGTCTTCAGAAGCTCAAGTGTGACTTCGCTGGTGCATCAGCCTCCCTGGTTCCTGGACAGGGATACCTCAACCACCACCACAATCCACACACTGCTAACCTCAGGAAAGGGACTGCGGTATGTGGGGCTGTCCTTGAGTCGGGCTTGGAAGATGCAGTTAATATGGAATGCTGGAGCGAGCAGGGTGGCTTG